TTGGCAAGGATGCCCTATGTCACCGCTTCTCATCAATCTAATAGTGGAAGTGTTTAGTGCTCTTATGTTCAAAGCAGTTAATCGTCAACTCATTAAAGGTGTGGTGGTAGGAGATACTGGTACTTTTGTTTCTCATTTGTACTACACTAATGATACGATTATCTTATGTGATCCTGACCCTTCTTTTCTTCTCAATGCTAAACGTTTATTGAGATGTTTTTAGGCTGTCTTTGGACTAAAGATAAATATGCAGAAAAGCTACCTTTATGGAGTTTGTCTTGATCAAAATTTGGTGACGACATAGGTTGATATGATTAAATGCAAGGTGGGAAAGCTCCCATCCACGTATCTTGGGCTCCTCTTAAGTGCCATTTCCAGGTCTACCAGTATCTGGCAACTGGTTATTAAAATGCAGACTCTCCTCATGGAAGGCCAAAATGTTATCGATGGGGGGTGTGTTACAGTCCTTAAATCTGTCTTAAGCAGCCTTCTTATTTTCCATATGTCTTTGTTCCATATGCCTGCTCGGATTAGGATGGCGATCCAAAAAATCTTGAAAAGGTTTTTATGAGGAGGGCCAAATCTTGTGCGTAAGCTTCACCACGTTAGTTGAGATACCATTTGCAACTTTCGCGATCTTGGTGGTTTAGGCCTTATTGACATTGGTCTTAAAAACAAAGTTCTCTTGAATAAATAGCTTTGGCAATATGGTAACGAACTGGATAGCTTTGGAGAAGAATTGTCATTGGAAAATCAGGGTTGGAACCTAACAGGATCTTACCGAGTCTAGGGAACCCAAGTAAAGCTTCTGGCATTTGGAAAAACATCACCAAGCCTTTCTTTGGGGCTTATGACTTTAGTGCCTTCGTTGTGGACGGAATAAGTTTATCCTTGGGGAATGGTAATCGTACTAGCTTTTGGGAGGACGAGTGGATCGATGATATCACCTTTAAGGTCGTTTTCCCTCAAATCTTTGCTCTAGCAGTTAAAAAGGCTAGCAGCTTTGAGACATTGGCAATTGGAATGGGAATGAGTGGGCGTGGAATATTGAACTATGCAAGAATGTCTTTGGATGGGAAAGCAAACAATGGGCGTGGAATATTGAGCAAGTATCGAGAAGATCTAACAAGAGTTAGCTCTCTGCTTTTTTGACTTTTAAAGGCTCTCTTTTTTTTGGACTTCTTTTGGGGCCATCGTTTTTTAACTTCCTCATTGACTATGAGGTTTATTTTTGTTAGTATTTTCGACCCTTGTGCTTGGATCTCAATTTGAATAGCATGCTTCCATGCACCGTTGGTTTTTTTAGCTCTTATTGTATAGGTTGCTCTTTCCTCTAGGCTTGCCACGCCTCTCCTACTGCTTGTTTTTATTGCTGTAGCTTCTTTGTATGACCTTATATTCTTCTAATGAATTTTCTTCTTGCCTCTTTTTTTAAAAAAAACAATGATATGCATACAAATTAATAGAATAAAATAATTATATTTCTTTCAATACAATTTTATTTATTATATATATTTTTAATGGCTCTCAAAATAATTTATTATTTAATAATTAGTTTTATTCTTCAAATTGTTTGATAAAATTAGAATCATTATGGTTAGCATATTGCTAGCTAAACCCATGAAATAAATTCTAAACTAATATGTTAAGCTTATCAAATTTTAAAAAAAAAAAAGTAAAAGTGAGTCTATTAATCGAAATCCATTAAGTTTTAATATAAATCTAAATTTATTATAACATATTATATTTTAACAGTTCAACCTAATTGCTTATCATAACATATTATATTTCAATAGTTCAAGTCAATAACCTAATATATTAATTAGTAATTTAAGAAGCAAATAGAAAATAAGCAAAGAGCTAGAACATATAAAGTAAAAAGATAATTCATTTGAGTTTGAAAAATTGTTCTCTTCCACTCTCGCAGGCAAAGAGTCTAAGAGATTTGTTCTATAGTTCCATTTAATTATATATATAAACGATACAATTATTATTGTTAATGTGCATTATTTTGTATGTCGAATGTTTTTTAAATTTTATTTAATTTTTTAGATGAGTGATAACTGAATTATATATAAAGGTCTTTTTAACTGTTTAATGTCTCTTTCTGTTTGACTTCCCTTAAAAAATACTCTAACTCCACTCCTACTAGCTACTCGCTAATAATACATATTATCACACCAAACATCTAGTTCATGTCAAGCATGAATAACACCACGTAATGGCTTTAGGAAGCTGAGCAAACAGGCACCAAAGTGCACGCTGTACAGATAGGTTACCCACATGCCAAAATGTCAAGCATGCATTAATTTCCCTCAATGTTTCTGTTTATTCTCAAAGTTGCTTTCGTTTAAATTTTCTGATTAGAAGACTCACAAAGTCTTTTGCTTTCATCAAGAAATGGTCTAAATATTGGGTATTGGACATTCTTGTCAACCATCATTCTTTAATTGGTACGACATATATATAATTAGTATTTGCTTTTGGATCAAATTGGTTTGCAAATTGTTAAAAATACTTGAAAGTTGAAATAGAATGCATTATGGAGAATCAAACTTTAGACAATAAAAAATAGTAGAAATAATAAATAAATGAAAGTAGATGTAAATACGAGGATAAACCTTAGAAGAAAATTATTTATTTCTCATTCTGTTATGAGAAGGTACTCTAAATTTAAACTAAATTTACTTCTTATATTCATACTTCAATAATTCACTTTCCTGCATTATCAATCAATTATAGAACTGCTATGGATAAAAATTGCTATTCACATGATCAAACAGATTATTATCACTACAAAATCACAAAAAAAAAATCCGAAATTGAATTTTCCAAGCTAAAATATTATATATATATATATGACAACAAAAAATAAATGTTATAATATTTATTCATCATTTGTTTTGCTCCTTGCAATGGGAAAATTTTATTAACTACTAATGGAAAAAAAAAATAACAGTGAGAAGATATAGGTTTGGTCAATCGTCGCCTACTTGACTATCTCTGTTCCAAAATTGACAAAGAAACATTAATATGAAATTGGGACGCTTCTTTTTGTTCTTGCCTTGGAAGAATAAAATCCGACGTTGAGATGGACATTACTAAAGTAAAGGCAAGATTCTTGAAGAAGTATGATAACTAATTCTCTTTCGAATTAAGAAAAAGAAAAAGGAATCGAGATGCTTTGTTAAAGAAAATTCTAACTATTACGAAATTGGTTTCATGTTTGTAATCTAATTATAATAATGTATTTCTTCATAATATTTCAACAAATTAAATCTTGATAGACAAATTGAAAGCAAAAAAAAAAAAAAAGTCAGCAAGCTTCGTTTGAGGAGTCTTAACCTCAGGCTGAAGCCCATAGGACATTCCTTGCCTAGAACATTGTTTACCATTTGTGTACAAAAATTTATTCTTTATATAATGAATAAATTAATTAATAAAACCAATAAATATTGTTTTTTGGTGTTTGCTGTTTCTATTTTTTCAGCTGAGGCTATTTGATTCTTCGTGCATCTTGGGTTATGCTGTTACTGCTTTTCTTCTACTCAGGTTTTTCTTCTGTTCTGGTTTGCTTTGTTTGTTTTTTACTGTTGTTCTTTCTGAGTTATTGTTATTTGTTGGCTCTCTGGATCTTTTTCGCTGTTGGTTGCTTGTGAGCAGATGCGATTGAGCCATTTCTATGCGCTGGCTGTGTTTTTTGGTAGAGTTTGCACTCTATTCTGTGTGAAGTGGAATTAGCCCATACAAAATTGTAATGGCAACAAAACTTTCAACAGGGAAAAGTTAGGGAGACTTGGTAAACTAAGCAAATCCAGCCAATAATTAATGGATACATGGAAAGATCGATATGTGAATCAGTATAAAGGTTTCCAAATAATTTGGTATACTGAAAAGCATAATGGGGTAGAAAGCAAAAATGATAGCTTCAAAAGCATAAAGTGGAAAAATTGAGTCTTTATTTATATAGATTTGTCTCTATCCTTCTTAATCTGGAGCTATAATCATGTGAGATTATCCTATTGTTATATTCATTCATTATATTTCATTAGAAATTGAACAAAATGGTGTTGAAAGTTACCCTGCTTCATTAGCTAAATAGATTTTATGGTATGCCAGAATTTTAGAGAATGATATTACAAAATGAATTTACAGCAAAGTAGCAGACAATAAAAGACTAAAATAGTAATAATAGCATTGAGGTGTTTTCCATTAATGTGGATCCAAAGGGATCAATCCAAGGAGGGAAACTTCTTGCTTTGATTCAAAGTTTCTTTTTTTCCAATTTTGATTAGAAGACTACAAAGTCTTTTGCTTTTCATCGAGAGAAATAGTCTAAATATTAGGTATTGGACATCCTTATCAACCATCATTCTTTTAATTGCAACAATATAATTACTATTTGCTTTTGGACCAAATTGTTAAAAATTCTTGAAAGTTGAAATGGATGTACCATGGAGAATCAAACTTTAGATAGTAAGAAATAGTTAAAATATTAAACAAATGAAAGAAAGTGTGAACATGAAGACAGATCTTCAAAGATGATTGTCTATTTCACACTCTATTGCTATGTAAATGCTATTGATAATGCAAAATTGACTCTGTTGAAGGAAATTCTAGCTAATGCAAAATTGGTTTCATATTTATATACCGGTTGAAACCAAAAAAAAAAAAACAAAACATCAGGAAAGCTTCCTTGGAGGAGTTTTAACCTCAGGCCGAAGCCCATAGGACATTACTTGCCTAGAACATCTATTACTTTTTGTATACGAAAATAAATTCTTTTATATAATCGATAAATTAATTAATAAAACCAATTGATTGTTTGATTCAAAGTGTTGAACTAGAGAAAATTTCACATGTATGCAATGCACATGCATCGTCATCAATTAATTCATACTTTATTTAAGAAATAGTAGCCTAATCTCTCCCCATATACATAACTGAAGTAAAAACAAAGGCATTTACTTGGTTAATTGATTGTTAGCCAAATATTGTGAAACTCTGCTGCAAATCCCTGTGAATAATTGACGAAACTGCTCATAAAAGTTCCAGTAGAGACTTCTTTTCTCTGGAATTCTCTCTGTCTCTCTCTTTCTTTTTTTTTTTATTGTTACTAATTTTCATATTTAAATACTTAGTGGAAGACAAAGGGCCCAAACATCTTTATGTTGAATGCAGAGACTTGATAAACTAATTTGTGTTGAATGCAGTGGAAGGTGAGGTTCATGCAATATGTAGGCTACGTAGACTATTTCATGCAAGAATGGCAAAGAGTGATACACGACCCTTTTTTACTTATGTGAAAGCAAATCCTGCCAATAATAAATGGATACATGGAAAGATTGATATATTCAAAAGCATAATAGAGTAGAAAGCAAAAATTGAGTCTTCATATATATATATATATATATATATGTGTGTGTGTGTGGTGTGTGTGTGTTGTGTGTGTCTATCCTCTTTAATTTGCACATGTAATCATATGAGTATTATGATTTGACCTCGTACTCAAATATAAAAATAATCAAAAAATTAAAAATATAACTTAACAAAAAAATAAAACATTCATTTAATAAAAAAATTGAATCTCACAGATTAATGTTTGTACTTTTTTATGTAATTTTTCAAATTAATTATGAAATTTTTAAGTTAACAGTATATATATTTACTCTAGATATCATAACCAAGAGCCAATTAAATCTAAAAGGCTTGTGATGAAGCAAGTAACCAAAATGAGAATAAGACAGTTTGAAATCTTGCAGTCGAAATCTTTGCTTTTTCACTTTTAGAATTTGTCAAATTTTCAATCACCTAAGTGTTCAGCCTCTAATAGTAATCTAAACAGTGACTGAATGAGACTTTCTCAAAAGTAGAACTTTACTTATGCTAACAAGTTTTGTTTCTAGAACAAAAAAACCAAAAGTTCTTGTTGTATCTTATTTCTATCAGACAAAAAAAAATTATTATTTTTTCTTATTTTTTTATGAAATAGCTAAGAAATAGCTAAAGGTTTTTTTTTTTTAGTTTGCTAAGCTAACATATTTATATAGTCAAACTAAGTTGTAACTCTAGAGACAACAGTTTTATTTTTATTTAATTAAGTCCTTATGAACTTAATTAATTTTTTCACTTTATTTTGTTCTGTTTGAATTAAGTCCAACTTAATTAATTATCCTTATTTAATCTCAATCATGTTTCTTAATGTGTGTGATCTATTTGGCTTCTAACATGTTGACAATAAATATAAATCTTAATTAAATATCAATTTGATAATTGATTTATATTTATAGATCATAAGAGGTATCTAGTAATACATCATGACCACCTAAATGTTAGAAAGTCAATTAAAGAATTTAACAAAGCCTTTCAGTGATAAGCTTCTTAGTGCAATATGATCATTTCATCAAATATCTCATATATGTCATAAAGCATGCCTCATTATCTATTTTTGACATTCCATATTAGTTTTCATAATTCATGACTAACTTTATGAATTTAGGAAACTAACTTTTCTCAAATTCATCATATTTTGGCCAAAGATTTTATACAAACTAATCAAGAATTGAAAGCAAGTGAGATACCTCCCTTCATATCACTTGGGGTGATGAATCCTCTCTGGACCACTCATCCACCTTTGCATGCTTCATGGCATACCTAAAAACACATTGTTTAAGCATATAGTTGCCTCTAAACTCGTAAGGTTGAAATCAAAGTTTGTCATTCTCCATACTAGATGACCTAGTGTCTCAAGTTTGAGGACTAGTTGCACGACTATTACATGAAAATAAATTCCTTAGACGCTTGAGTGAAATATCAAATGAAATTCTTATAGCAGGTCATGTTCAGTAAATTTGTTTTTTAACAAGCGCCTACATGTTATCGTCAAGTATCTCATACACTTCAATCTATAAGATTGATTGTTTACTTTCCAAGTAAGGAGGCTTAATATGTAACAATTTTTTAGTATTGTTAATGCCCTGTCCTGACAATACAATGACCAGGAATAATTTTAGAAATATGAATTTGATGCATAGTGATCTCATATTATAACAACTTTACGATTCTCTTGTGAGGCCTTTATATTCTATGGGCTGTATCCAATGAATAGTTAATAACTTCTTATTATTGCAATAACATAAAGAAAAACCTCTATCAAATATAATTATGCGATTAAGTATACATTAAATGATAATATATATTTCTTTGACCAAACCAATTGGCTCAAGGGTATATACCAACAGTAAAGTTCTTATATTCTTTTATATTATAACCATGGTTAAAATTGCTGCTCTTCTAAAATCTTCCTCAATCATTTCTTATTAAATTCATTTTATTTTACATTAACTCTGCTTTTGTAAATATTGTCTAGTATGAACTCTAACAACCCTCTTTCATCAGGTAGATAGATTACATAGTTTGCCACAACTTTTTTTTTTTTGAAAGGCAGTTGGTCACAATTTCAGATAATGACGTGACAAGTTTGATTTACAGCTAAGTAGCATTGAGGTGTTTCTCATTACTTTTGTTTAATTTTCACTCCTTGATATACATCTGTCAATAATTTGATATGGAACCTATTAGATAATTCGTGTAACATTGACTAATCTTGTCTTCATCATCTTCTTATTCAAATATTTAGTTATTTAATTGCAACATTCAATTTGGAATAGAGTTTGAAAAATTGTGTCAAATTACTCTTTCATTAATAGTTCAGCAGAAAATATTCATTATATCACAGAGAATTTAGAGAATGATGTATGAGAAAACTAATTTAAAGCTAAGTAGCACTCAATAGAAGACTAAAACAATAATTGAGGTGTTTCTCATTAATTTATTTGAAATTGTTAATACTTATCTGTGAATAATTTGGTCTTAATTAGATATCATATCAACATGGGAGCAGATGAAAAGCTTTAGCTATGAGACATCAAAGAAGTAAATTATCACCTCATTTCTTAACATGGCAAAATATAATTTCGAATGGTAATGAGACAACGCATATCACCTCTTTTTGCTTTCAGATTAGACTGATTTTTCTTTTTTTATCAAGACCCAGAAATTTAACATTGAATCTTCTCTCTAATTGAAACTCTCCATGAAAGATAAATCATTTATCAATTATTACACAAACATAAAGATTGTGCAAGTGGCTCAATAAGGCTGTGGAAATTTTAATATATATGGAATCGTTTTCTCCGATCTCAATCCTATCTATTGATTACGTAATTATTACGAGCTTTCGTTATCTTTCTTTATAGTTGGAGATCCCCACTAGTAATTGGAAAATGTATGGAAAAATGCACATGTACAAATTTTGTTCATATGAGTTGACAAATTATGCTTGGAAAATAGAATCCAATGACTCAGGACGTGAGGTCCTAAACTCAAATATGAAAATCAAAATCACAATCTTGTGAATTGTCAAGACCACGCAATTATTTCAACACGCTGAAGATCATTAATTTACAGAATTAATATAATATAACTTATCAGAATTCTCTAAATGCCAGTCTAGTTTTCATGTTGAAGTTTCAAATCCACCCTTTCAAACTCATTTATCAAAGGAAAGAAAAAGTAGAAACCTCCTTAGAGACCACTTGCATGTTCCTCCAATAAGCTCTTCGTGGTGGCTATCAATAATTCTTTTAGTAGAAATTAATAAGGAAGATATTG